TATGCTGCGAAAAATTTGCCCCTGGCACTTCCCATTTGTTCAGGAATGGGGTTGTTTTGAAAAGGAAAATGGTGCTTGGGAGGTCGGCGCCAGTCATTCATGAAGGAGTTAGCGCCAGAGAAGACCTACAAAATACTCACGGATGGTGTCCATGCAAGCTATATCGGCTTTCAGGGAGAAGCGGATGTTGCCGGGGAGCTCGTCAAACCTAAATCCGACGCAGAAACTGCGGGGGATTCCCCTACAAGAGCTTGAAAGCTGGTAACCTTTTATCAGCCTGCGGCAGCTGACGGAGTGACGAAAATCGGTATGGGCAAATATTTTTGGAGATATAGCAAAGGGTTTGGTTTCCAACCTTCCGAATCAGTTGTCAAAGCATGCATATTTGTCTAGTGTACACACGGACACCAAAACCTTATATTTTTGGCCGGTTCTTATATGCTTTATTGACATGGGAAATGTGTAAGCGAACTTTTGAGACACCCTGTACAAGCAACAACCTGCATCATTATTCATTATGCTACCATTTTGAAACAAATATTTTGGTGTGAGCTGACGTCAGACGTCATCGGTGATAACGTCGCTGACTTTTCTCCATTTCCTAAAATATCCCAACGAACTAGGTACCAACTACCAACCCTCATTTCATTTGGAAAAAACAGGTTGTTTCCGAGATCAGAGGAATAAGTGGGACAGCCAAAGATGTCTTAGGACACCATTTGGGTCCAGAAAGTCCATTCACCACCATCCGTCGGCGGAGGCATGCGGCATCACAAGCATCTTGGTATCCCTCTCCCCGACCAAAGCTGTCATCCAGCCCAATGCCCATAATTCTCCAGCTTGGAGTGGAAAATTAAGGCTGCTTGATTCAGTATAACACTCATTAGATACTACCTCTGAGATTTCTTTATGAACCCAATAAACGAAAGCTTCACTCATTTTTTGGACGCATAAACTAGCTTTAGTACGAAAACGTATCCTCCTCAGCAACACATACTGGTGTGTGTTGTGCAATGTTTACATTTGACTTACAATACAACTGCTGGTAATTGTTGGATAAATATTCAACGACATACATACAATTCTTACCGCAACGTCTCGTTTTGACTTATTTCAACGAGCTACGACACAAAGCAAATCGAGATTTGCCAACCCACCTGTTTAAGCGGTATGACGATGAAGCCTCCTCCACCGCCGCACTCGACGATTATCGCCAGGAACTTTGGGTTCACCGCGCAGAATGTAGAGTCCCAGGAGGACTTGGAGACGCGGATGTTATCGTAGCACTGTTCCTTTTTGGCCGTTTGGCCGTACACATGTCGGAACTTACTGCTTCGCACCCGGAACGACATGCCTGCAAAGGAGAGACCACAGGATCAAAAACTCGCACTGTGCACTAGATATTTCTTCAGATATTGTGTTCGAATATTTTCAATTGACTGGTTGAGAAAGCAAGAGTCCGCGCTAAGCGGAACTTGTTACGCAGTCAGATAGGAAAATTTCGGGTTATCGGGAGGATTTAGAAGTTGAAATTCAACATTAGCCCAGCGCAATGTTGCATACACGTTTTTACCAACCACAGATCATTCCCGTCCGGAGTCTCATGGATCGAGCGCCGGAGCATATTGAGCCTGCGCTGGGCTCTCACAAACGGAAGTCCAGCATCCTACCGGGATGCGGGAAAAAACGCATAGTGTCTATGACTAATTCTGTAGCATTCTGTAGGTATGTAGGGGGCTACAGTCTATTGTTACAGTCCCTAGTTCTTGAGAACGTATTTCACTTTGATTTTTTTACTGAAGAGTGGCTAGGTACTTGCAAAACAAATCCAGGATGACTTCCTTCAGTCACTCAAAACAAACTTGTTCAGTCAACTTGAACAATCACACCAACTTTCTACACCCAAAAGAATGAGCTATTAATAGCTCATGCCTAGAACTATTTAGCCTCTTCAGAAAAATAAAATACTCTAAATGAAAAATTGAACATGGCTAAAAAATCAACACCTTAATGGATGTCCTAGCTAAATTACAGCATGCTGGCAGCTAAGTATTTACAATAGGTGTACCTAAAAGTTCAAATACTCCTAAATAGGAGGCTTTCTTGTTCAGCTTCTTCATTGTATCCTGCCACCCTGATAACTGGCATCTCTTCCTTCTTAAACCTGATCAATAAACTAAGTGAAAGTATGAGATAAAAAGGGGAGTAACATCTCAGTGATGTGATGTCACATTTTGCTGCTGTGGTTGCTAGGTAATGAAAAGAACAGAAAGGAACTTCAGCTTTACATAATATGGTGCTAAGAATTTGGACATGTTAAGTGAATTATGAAAGTGCAGTGAATTTGGTATACATAAAGCACCATTGGTGCTTATATCCTAATGCAGAAGCAGCACCAGCCAGTAAAAAGCACATTTAGCCCCTAAGGCCTAGAGGCACTGTCATCACAGCTTTTGGCCTTGAACACCATTATTCTGCCGTCCAAAGGCAAAAGCGCATATGTCGGGTCAGGTCATCACCCGACATATGCGTTTTTGCCTTTGGACGGCAGTATTACTCCTCACTAAACAATTTCCATTATTTAGCCGCATTTAGGACTGCACGGCCTTACCCATTGGCAATGTCAATATTTTGTTTCATTAATTGTACACAGGCAATGCCATTTAGATACTTTTTATCCTTCCATCCCATCATGTCTGCATGAACTTAGGTAACTTTATATAGTGCCTACCTATAAGCAGCCTGAACTGGAGTTGGACAAAATTCACACTGAAACCTACTCAGTACTCAGCCTGGTCCAATTAAAGGTAGGTACTCGACCAGGACCAGGGCTCCGGCTTACTGAGCAAAACTTGTGACCTCAGGCATGCCTACAGTGGAATGCCTCCAAATCCAGCTGAAAAAGCTTTCAGTTCCACAAACAATAGTCAACCCGGCCTAAAAGAACCAGCAAACAAAATTGAAATTGATTTGTAATATCATCACAGTGCCAGAGCCCTGAACGGCACCACGGGTAGAATTGAAGCAAAAGAAAGCATTACATATTGATATGAATCTGTCATCATACTAACCTGCGACAAAGCAATTCCAAGGACCAACACTCACACCCAAAATTCACCCAAACCAGCACAATCACTCGCCAACGCCCCAACCACACACCCACAAAACAGCCCGAAAACTTGTATAGCGAAAGACGAGTGCAGCTTCGCTGACGTGTTCTTACTGCCATCTATCTTCAAGAAAGGGAACTACGAAAAGCATTGGCGTCTTATTTCACTGCTAAATCATGGCTAAATTGATATACAGCAAAGAGTGATTGACATGTCAGGCTTTTGAAGAATAAATTCATTAAGTCCTTAAATTGTTTCAATATCCTAAAATTCCTAGCTAGAAATCATTTAACTTTCTTTCTCTCCCTTTCTATCTCTGTTTTATAACTCTCTTCTGTTGCGCTCTTTGATCGCCATATTTTAAGTTTGTCAGTGCTTTTGTAAATATTGAAACTTCTATCTACGACATTTATGGCGCGAACCATACATAACAATTTTGAACAGCAAGTTGAAAATCAATTTCAAAGGGCGTTGTTGTTTGTTATCCCTCGACTGAGTTTGAATAGTGTTTTTGTATGTATTTGTCGCCTGGGATTTTTGATTAGGAGAGTGGTAACCTCAATATACCCTGGTGGTAACATCCTTTCTTGCCAGTTTGAGGTAAGAATGAACTGGAGAGTGCAAGGAGAGTTAGTTGAACCAGAGTTCAGTGAGCTCTCTCGAATCTTGCCTTCAACGCTGGCCCGGCTTTGCGCTGGCCTGGACAAAAGCCAAGTCACCGAAGATACACCCCCAGCCGACTGTCACTCTGGGCCCTGCTGCATGGCACAATGCTTCAAGCACGCTATGCTTATCAGTGTATTAGGTTTCCAGAGAGTCAGCAACAAACTGGGTCGCTCTCAACGCTGGAGCATTGAGACAAATTTGTGTCAAATGTCACATCAATACCATGTTGTAACGCAGCGCATTGTAGTGTTGTGCACTGAACCGGGACCCTGGTGACTAAGTCTTACCTAACTGAAGTGTGTTGAAGTTGATGTTGAATGGTAGTGAACTGTAGTAGACATAAAATGTCCATGCAGTGCGCACGTCAGGAATCACTAGGAAATGAGATTGAGATCAATTGTGGGGTTGGGGTGAAGAAGCAATGTCAGCAGCCATGTATTGATGTAGCTGTTAGCCTGATTTTAAGCATGTTTGCAGTTGAAGCCTTTACCCCATGTCTAGCAGACTGTTCCATGCACTGACTATTCTGTTTGAAATAACTTCAGCATGTATAGATGCCTTTTTCAGATTCAGATGGTTTTCTCCTAGTGAGGCCATCATGGTTTTAATTCAAATTTCTGCTACCTATGCACTACTCAGCTGAACTTGACAATGACTGGTGATTTCATGCTGTTTCCAGATCAGTATCCTCTTAAACTCACTGCCACTGTCTACAATCCTTGAGGCCATTTCCATGGTTTTGGTGTGGAATATGATTTTAATATTATATCCAGTATCTGCTTAGCCCTTAAGTATATTTTCCTCCTGTAAACCATGGTACTGTTTAGTGTTAGTTTTCATCAGCATGCTAATGTTTTAGGTGTTAAGAAAACACTCTGTCTCCATCCCCTCCCTCTTCCTCCCTCTTCCTCCTCCCCCCTCTCTCTCTCTCTCTCTCCATCTCTCCCTCTCTCTCTCCCTCTGTTCCTCTCTCCATCTCTCTCTTTCTCCCTTTCTTCCTCTTTTTTGGATGGATGTAAGACTATCAGAACTTGTCTGCAGTCTGCACTTAGTAAACAATGCATGGGTGGGTTTATGTTCAATGTGGTGCGATCTGATGGTATTTTGGCTTTGCAGACTGCCATGGACAACCGGCTGGATGGCGGCTCGATGGTCCTCTCCGGCGGCGGCGGCGGCAAGGGCGCGCCTCGCTCGGGCTCGCCGGGCGCCGGCGGCACGCCCACGTCGAGCGGCGCCGGCTCACCGGCCGGTCCGAACCGGGCCGACGGCACCGAGAAGGGCTCCCGCGAGGCGGACGGCGCCGGCGAGCTGGGCGCGTTGCTGCTGCTGTCCGCCACCAGTGATGACCTGATGTCGGTGGGTGATGGAATGCTGTCGGATAGGCTAACTCTGCTGCTGTCGGCCACCAGTGATGACCTGATGTCGGTGGGTGGTGGAATGCCGTCGGATAGGCTAACTCTTCCATCTGCTTCAATTACACATCGACACTAAATATCCGTCATTTGATCGGTGTATGCTGTTTGTTCGAGCATTGTGCCGTTGTTTGCGTGCTATTGATGGCACAGTCCCTGCCCGTGTTTCTGCCTGACTGGCTATCTGTAATCTTTGCAGATCAGCGGGGACATGGACAGTCTGATTTTCCGTGAGGCGCTCGCTCTGGCTGACGAGTTTGCCAACGCCAAAGAAAATGGTGAGCCGCTCATGTTGCTCGTTCAACGTGAGACATGGTACTTCTTTGTATTGATGTCACAGTATTTAAAAGAGTTTGTACTTGCAGAGTGGGTCTGTCGCCGTCGGTCAGTGTGTCGGATACTGTGAGCGCCGGTGCTGCGATGTCGCCGCCGGGCTGCCGACGCGGTACGGTGCGTTGTCTGACTGTCTGACGTGTTCTCACTGATCGCAGGCGAGGAGGAGCCGCCGGCGATGGCGGCCAGCTGGCAGCGGCTCTCTGCAGACGCCGGACACATGGCGCACATGCTGGCCTCCGGGGTCGAGGCTGATCCTGTACCCGCGCCCCGGCCGGCCCCGGAGCCGGAGCGGCACCGGCCGCCGACTCCGGGCCGCCGCCGGGACCAGGCGCAGCAGCGGCCCGCCCCCGTGGAGCCGGAGGTGATCGAGGTGCCCTGCTATCGGATGTCTGAGCCGCCGCCGCCGGCCGAGCCGCGGCGGCGCCACCGACTGGCCGACAGCCCGGTGGCCGAGCGGGAGCGGGCGGCGCGCGCCGCGTCGCCCGCCTACGCCGCCCTCTGCGAGAAGGCCTCGGCCGAGCTGCGCCAGCTGGAGATTCAGACGCAGGAGGAGTACGAGAACCTGCAGTTTGAGGCGCTGGAGCGGTCGATGTCGGCGGCGCCGCGCCGACCTCCGCAGCTCACGCCCTGGGACTCGACCCGACCGGACTCGGGCACTTATCGCGTCAACAAGCGGCGGTCTGGCACCTATCGGGTAGCGCCATCCAAGTCTGAACGGCAGCCGATGGTTCTAGACCGAACGTTTGACACTGAAACACCCCTGGACCGAACCTTTGATACTGAAGCAGTCTTGAACCGAACGTTTGAAACTGAGGCGCCCCTCAACCGGACGCTCGATATCAAGGAGCCCTTGAACCAGACATTCGACACTGATGCGCCCGTAAACCGAACATTCGACACGGAGGCGATCATGAACCAAACGTTCGACAGACGCACGTCCCGAGACAGAAAGTCGGACCGGTGGACGCTTCTGAACGGCACGTTTGGGGCTGATGGTCCCCTGAACAGCACGTTCGATGGCCACGCACCGGCGCCGGATGTGTCGTTTGACGCCGGCGGCGGGGCGGACGGCTCGCCGGAGCGGGAGCTGCGGGCGCCGCGGCTGTCCTCCGGCGCCGGGCGGCGTCAGTCGCGCCGGCCCGAGCAGCCGCCAGCCGCCGCCGTCGGCCTCAACGAGACGTTCGATGCCGGCGAGCCCTCGGCGCGGCTCAGTGCCGGCGGCGAGCGGCGCTCCCTCGCCGCCGCCGGCAGGGCCGCCCTGAACAGCACCTTCGACGGAGGGATGGCCCGTTCACCTCTTGTCGCCGACGCGGACGACGTGGATCAGCCACGGCGCAGAGCTGCGGACGCCACGGTGGCTCTACTGCATCGCACGGCGGACCAAGAATCACTTCTGAATCGCACGCTGGACAGAGAAACCCTACTGTCGCGCACTGCTGCACAGGAGGCGCTGTTGAGCGAATCGCCAGTGCCAGACTCCGGTGGCGGCGCGGCTCTGGCGAGAACCCCAGCTGCCGAGTTCAGCCGTCGAAGTCGACACGGCTCGACGCCACCCAGGACCCGCCAGGTGAGACATCGTTAGCCTCGCAGCTTATCCAGATTCTAACTTATCCAGATTCCTACCAATTCTAACTGGAAAATATGATAATAAATGTAGCTGTCCATTTGAGTTTGTAATGGCGCATGATCTATTTAACATTCAGTAAGCTGGTAGGAATTTGTCTGAGACAGCTGCTTGTAGTTGTATCATAGTTCGAACCCGGTGCGGAGCAGCCAACAATGAGTGAGTAACCCATGGAAGTGCGTGCTGACGCCCTCTAGCATATTTCGTGTGATTGCCTGTGATCCCATCGATCCAGAGTGGGGATGGCTGATGATGGATATGTGTGTTTTCAGATGTCGGACGATGCGTTTGTAGCGCCGGAGGCCTCCGCGGCTGTGCCCTCGGAGTGTGAGCCGGCGTCCGTCCCCTCTCCGGCCACCTACCGCGTGCCCCGCCAGCCGGCCGCTCCGTCTGCGGAGCCGGCAGCACGGGCCGCGCTGCGCCGGCCGGCCGGCCCGCTCACGTCTACCCCTCGCCGCTCGGCCGGCAGCGCCAGCAGCGCCGGACTGACGCCCATCTCGGCCGGCCGGCCGGCCAGCCCGCCCAGCGACAGCGACGGCCGCTCGCCGCCGTTCGTCGCCCTCCGCGCCGTCCCGGCCGCCGGGCGCAGCGGCCTGGTCCGTCTGACGGCGCACCGGCCTGGCCCGTCACCGCAGACCAATGGTCCGGTCGCAGCGACTCATGAGCTACCGCGCCCGGACGGCGCAGAGGACAGGGTACCCACAGCGGAGCGGCCGGCGCACCACGAGCCGGAACGGCCGCCGTCCGACACGGAGCCGAATTCAGAGCCGCTGTCGGAGTCTGAGCCGCGCTCAGAACCGACACAACACAAGCCTCGGCCCTCCGGTGTTATGCGACCTGCAGGATTGGCGGCACCGCGCGCCGTTTCCTCTGGGTTGGCAGCGCCACGCACCGCCGCCATTCCCTCAGCGCCCCGGCCCTCAGGGTTGGCGGCGCCGCGTGCCACTGCCATTCCCTCAGGGCCGCGATCCTCGGGACTGGCTGCACCGCGTGCCACCGTCCCGTCGGGGTTGGCGGCGCCGCGAGCCGCCGTCCCGTCAGGGCTAGCTGCACCACGTGCTAGCACCACCTCCGGGCTGGCGGCACCACGTGCTACCGCCCCTTCGGGGTTAGCGGCGCCACGTGCTACCGCCCCCTCAGGATTGGCGGCGCCGCGCGCTACCGCCCCCTCAGGACTGCGAGCACCGGCTGCCCGGGGCCTGCGGCCTCCCTCTGCCAGCGGACTCCGCCCGCCCGCGGCGTCTGGTGTCCGTCGGCCGGCCGCCGCGGCACCGGGAGCTCGGCTGGCTGCTGAGGAGGCCAGGTCACAGAGGTGAGTACAGCCGAGGCCCCTGAGACTGGCGACGGGATGCTCTGAGGGCAGCAGCGCCAGGGTCAGTCTGCGGCAAGTGCATGACGAGCTGTTGGAAGTGATGTGACTTGGGACGAGCATCACACTCAGCTGCTTTGCCATTTTAACCCGGCGGCCGCTGGGCCTCCGCGCCACCCGCCGGCCGCTGGGGGGGGGGGGGGGGCATAAAGTTGCCCCCCCCCCCTTTACTTCTGCGACGATATCGTCGCAACGCGAAGAGATAGAGAAGCGAAACTTTGCACACATCTTCCTGAATACCTAGCCGAGGTTGTGTCCAAATTTGGTGTCGATCCCATTTGAAATGACGTCACAGTGACGTCATAAGTGAAATTATAGATTTGCGACTCTCATATTCCTCACGATACATCACATATATGGGACCGAATATAAAGGGCCGATTATTGGTCAGAAACTAGATGGAAGTGTAGTAAGATGTTTTAGGATGACAGCAGGTGCTGTCTAGTTCATTTACAGTCGAGTTTCATGCTCAGCGTCATCAGAAACGGTCCATATCGGAAAACGACAAAACTTTATGACGTCACTGTGACGTCATCTTAGGTGCTACAACCACCAAACTTTCCTCAAACATTGCCTAGGTATTCATTTGAAGCTATTCCAAGTTTCACGTTCGTAGCTCATCAGGTTTCTGAGATATTTCACAAAACGTAAAGGGGGGGCAACTTTATGCCCCCCCCCCCCCCAGCGGCTCGTGGGTTAACTCCGCCGATTGACTTTACCATTTTCGCTACAATATCTGCATTTTGTGTTTTGCTTTTTAATCGCTAAACTAAGGTACTGACAAGTGACTACCCGTGCGAGATATTCTAAGGTTTGTTGCGTAAAATGAGTTTTGTTTTACATTTAGAAGCTTTAAAGTGAATATATGATATTGTGATTGTTTTTTTTTAATATAGAAAGTTCACCAGATTCCTCACTAGGCAAGTTCAAATCTGTTAGTCTGATGATAGCTTTACCCGGACCGTTAAGTCAGTACTGGCTTAGCATCTACAGCCGATTGATTCGCCGTTTTCGGGCTTCGCGGATATGAAATTTCGTCAAGTTCCAGAACAAAAGCAGACAAGTGCTGCACTGTCCACAGTCGAGCAATTACGCTTTCGATATTCGTTAATACAGAAAATCGTAGAAACACAGCTAGCAGGAGCAAATATAGACGCATGATGCGTAAAATTGGGAACCGCCCAAGTTTTGTTGCAAACTACTCACGCTGGAGAATCGCTGACGTCACGCGATCCAATGCAGCGTATGACGTCAGCTGTGGAGTGTTGCCAGTGACGAGCAGTGCTGTGACGCCGAGCAGCGCCCGGCGCCGTCTATATGTGAAGCCGCCCCGTGACCGAGCGGCCGGCCGCGTCTGTTCCAGCGTCGAGCCGGCGCCGGCACCCGCCGCGCGTCCCTCCGGCCTGGCCTGCGCCCGCGGCTCCCGACTGGCCATGCCCGCCTCCAGACTGTCGGGACTCGGTGGTGCGTTCACTCAGCTCGTTCAGAGCGGACGGGCAGCTTTGTACCAAGCCGTACCGGCGAGGGATCGTACACTTATTGTATGCTTTCACTTATCTTCGCTGTGTGATTCTCAGTTAATTATTTTCACATTCGTCTGCTACGTGTGTTTGCGGTGGACAGCCCGTTTTAACACCGATAATGGGAGCTTATCCTTGTAATGTATAAGAGCTGGGAAGGTGGCGCTTTACCGAGCACTCCTAAAATCAATTGTTATTAACTTTGCATCGCCTGCTCTACATTGGACTCCTGTTCGGTTCGGCGCTTCTGATTTGACTCGTTCTGCCCGGCAGGCGCGGCTGGCCGTGGGGTGAACGGCAGGGGCCCGGCTCGTCGCCATTAGGTGAGGCAACGCGAAGCAATGTATGAAAAGTTGTGCCAACTACGGTTATTGAATAACTAACTGAAGGCGCCGTAACATACGAATTGTATTGCCCTTTTACCGAAAATAGGAAATGGTTAGTATGAAGTCCAAATCCAGATTGTGTCGCTCACCAATCCCAATGCCTTTTATTTCACAGAGGCCCTACTGTGCGTGCTGCGTTTGGGCATTATTCGGCTGGCCGGCGCTCCCCAGGTGCTCAGCCTCCTGTGTCGTTGAAGTGCGGCCGACGGACGTTAGCGACCGCCGACTACTTGCCCTGCCCCGTCTGAGCCGGCCGGCACTGACCCCTCAGTCGTCCGCTGATACCCCAGTCACGGGACTGCAGCCGCTCAGTGCAGCGATCGGGGTGTGCTGGGGTGCAGTCAGCAGGCTGGTCACAGGACTTCAACAGCGCTGTGTCATGGTCGGGGAGTCGGCCGACAGGGTTATACACTGTGCAGCGGCGCAGCGGGTGGGGGGGGGGGGGGCTGGGCACCGTATTGCACAGCAGCCGGGGACTGTGAGACAGTGCAGCGAGGCAGTCGGGGGTCTGACCCAAACTACGCTATCAGGGCGCAATGCACGGCCCTGCTGCTCCGTTCTCAAAGCCTCCAGAATGTATTCTGTGCTCTAGGTGCACTCCCCAGCAGCTGCTGCTCGTTCCATGCCTTTTTAATGAACTTAGCCTGCCTTGAATATTGTTCCCAGGCCGCTATTATCGTGTAATTGCGCTATTTTTATGCATTCTTTCCTTGTATCTCTCGCGCACGCGTATCTAGTCAGACGGCACGTGCTGAGAGTGGAGCGGGTCGAGTTCGGCCCGCCGCCGCCGGGCCGCGCTTTACGTTCGCCGCTGCTGTGAGCCTCTCTGCGGAGCGTAGCCGCGACTGGTAGCTATCCTGCGTGGTGCAGAATGTCTTAAAACGCACGCCATAATACAATGCCATTAAGTGTCTGGATATTTGCAGTCTCAGAGGGTGATTCGGACCTATCCTATCATATCAAAGTCGAGGTCTGTCAGATGTTGTATTGCCACAACATAATAGCATATTCTTACTGTATGTTACACTTTCGCACATCAGTATCATACACAGCACAGGAGCTTGACCTGGAAATGCATCACTGGTATATACTTAAAAAGACAACGGAGTGAGAAAATGTGTCGGAAAAATGAGTCCCTAGAAAGCGACAAAAGTCAGCTGCAACTGGCAAGACACGTTTCGCAAACAACATTCGCCATCGGGCAGATACACAAAGAAGTTTGCTATCACTTCGGGTCTGGCTACGCAGCGAGTTTTTCGCTTCTTCACTTTTGCATCTTTAGGATGTTCATTCCACAATACGTCTTCCGTCTTTACAATCGATCTCCTCTGCGAGACATACATGCTCGTATTCACGAGTAAAAAACCGCGAACGCTAGCCATTGGATAGTGAAAGCTGCTACCTAGCATTGAGATCATTTGGACATGTGAAATGAAGATTTGGAACAAAAATTAACATGAAAACGAAAATCTCGAAGCGTAGCCAGCATTTGAATGCAAAGCTAGTGTAGTGCGAACTGAAAGATGCCCTACCGCACCCAAGATCACCCTATTGCTTTCACGGAAGACTGGCAAGTACCGATGCCGGTACAAGTAAATAATACACATGTTTGGTCGGTTCGATAAGCGACACAAAAGAACTGATTTGCATAGGATTGGGGAGTTTCGAGCACGCATCATTCGCTGTCACTCAAATATCACTTCGTCAGCCTCCCCTCCAGTCACGCACATTCCATGGACTTACCAGAAACGCCAGACGTCACGGAAAATGTAACCCAAGCTGAGCAAACGTATATGCCACTGTTAGTCTGCCGCTGAGCTGAAAGATCTGACCGCCTGGCCTGCTCGCCTATAGCCACAAAGCCTGCCGGGCACCTAGACGGTAATATACGCCGGCCGCGCCCACTGGCTTATCACGGAAGACGGAAACGCCGCTACAGGGACGGCGGCCTAACTGGGTACCTGACGCCCGTCCGGACCACTGAATTCATCACTAGAGGTCCTACACAGCGTCCGCACATACCATCCTGCTGGCGCTCCACTTGGCACCGGAAAAACATTGGCACATATACATCTAAAAAATAGCCTGAACCGCACTGGCGTCCAGCCACCCCAGCCAGCCTCCACATAGTGCAGACCGGCTGGGGAGCGGCCCAGGCGGGGCACGGGTCGACGAGATCGTTGGCGGGCGCACTGGGCCCGCTATGGCACCGCGGCAGGCACATGGTTGATACGCTACGATCTACATGGCGCGGTGGCTCTCCATTTTAACCCTGTGCGACGAGTGGTCGCTCACAATCGTGCATACTTCGCCACAAGTACATACACTGCGGATGCTTGCGGGACTGGTAAACGCAGTCCCACGCCCCGCGTCTATAGGGGATGCCGTGCTCACAATAGCCGAGCTGACGGTTCGCCCATTCCCGCCGACGGTATCTGCCAAGTACGCCCTCACGCGGCTCCGCCAGAGGGCGGTTAGCGCGGCCCGGCCGGCGGGCGCAGGGACAGCGGCGGCGGCGGCGGCGCCGTCCGTTTCGGAGTGGCCGGGCTGGGCCGGCGTCCGGCAGCCGGTGGCGGTCTGCCCGCCGGGGACATAACGGGCAGTCGGGAGCCGACAGGCGAGCACGGCTGTCGGGGCGACGGTCGGTCCGGCGACGACTGGTGCTGCTGGGGAGCCGGACGCTCCGGAAGGGACTGCTGTTGGTGCGGCTGTTGGTGCAGTGGCTGGGGCGGCTGTTGGTGCAGCTGCTGGTGTTGTGGTGGTGCCAGACGCTCAGATGGCGACTGGTGTTGTTGCAGCCCCGGACGTTCTGGAAGTGACTTGTGCTGTTGGTGCTGCTGTGAACAGGAAAGTGAATCAGATGCTACTCAACCCAGCTCTCTGACCTCACCAAACACTGCCCCGAGCATATGAAGTTTTTTTTCGACTTCTTTGGACAGTAGCGAACAGCTCAGAGTGCAGCAGGTTTGCCAAATTTCGGCGAGATCGCTTTCAATTATAATGGTCGCCTATTCAATGCCAGAGCCGAACCCTCGTCCTGCTCTCGTCAATCGTGATTCAGCAACTCGGCTCGTAAAACTCAACGTTGATCAGCTGCGCCCACGATAAGCGTTCTTTGTGGTAGCCGTTAGCATCCCGTTCGCATCCCTTCTGAGTGTTCTCTAAAAACTATCCCTTCCACATGGACAAGCAGAGCTGTGGGACCGGCCCACCGGCAACGAACCTACCTGATTCGAGTGGCGCTCCACGATCTGCAGCATCTGCTGCTCCAGCCGCTTCAGCTTGGCCTGGTACTTGCGTTTCGTCTTCTCCAGAGCGTCCGCCAGAGCTCTGACAAAGAGGACCAAGGTCCATTTATTTTTCATGAAACAATAATTTGCCACAAATGTGGGTTGGTAAAAACGAGCTACTGAAGGCATATAATTGATGTAAAGTCCATGGATTTCGAAGTTAAACATATTGTAAGCGTCGTTGTAATTCTCATTTCTACTTCAAACAGCTGCACCGCAGGCACCTCCTTCCCACTCAAAATGACATAAAGCACAGGACCCTGCAAGTGTCTGTGTGTGAGCGCGCACACAACAACGCGTGTCTGAGACAGTGACTTACCCGTTGGCCCGTTTGAGTTCGGCGATGAACTGGTCGGCGTGCTGCTGTCGCCTCTCAGCCGTCCGCGTCACCTCGTCCAGACTGGCAGAGAGCTGGCGGACCTGTGTCTGCAGCGCCGCCTCCGGGCCGCCGTCCTCAGAGCCGGACTGGCCACCGGCGTCAGAGGACTGCTGTCGGCAGACGGGGGACAACAGTCAGAAAACAGGTGGCAAGAGTCGTCGCACGCACATTGCACAACAGCTACAGATAGACCTTAGTTTACTACATTACAATCCTGTCACTTCCGAGTGTGCTCCAATAAAGTTGTTTACACCCGAGGTAGCCGATTTCTCGGCCAGCTGTCCCGTGATACGCCACTGTCTGAGTCACTGTGACTGGCGCAGTCGTCCCTTTAGCGAGCCGCACGCACCTGTTCCCGGTCGTTTGCTGCGGCCGGCCCACCGCGCAGCTGCTCCAACTGCAGGCGGTGCGCCTGCTCACTGGCCGCACACGAGGCCAGCTTCAGCTCCAGACCGGTCCGCTCCCGCTCGACCAGAAAGAGCCGCGAGCGCAGCTCCGCCCGCTCCTCCCGCAGCGCCATCAGCTCCTGGGGCACACAGAGAACACTCACAATCAGCTCCTGGGGCACAGACAGAGAGAGCACCATCAGCTCCTGGGGAACAGAGAAAACTCACAATCAGCTCCGCACGCAACGCCATCAGTTCCTGGGGCACAGACAGATATCACCATCAGCTCCTGTGGCACAAACAGAGATCATCATCAGCTCCTGGGGTACAGACAGATATCACCATCAGCTCCTGGGGCACAAACAGATATCACCATCAGCTCCTGGGACACAGACAGAGATCATCATCAGCTCTGCCCGCAGCGCCATCAGCTCCTGGGGCACAGACAGAGATCACCATCAGCTCCTAGGGCACAGACAGAGATCATCATCAGCTCCGCCCGCAGCGCCATCAGCTCCTGAGACACAGACAGAGATCACCATCAGCTCCTAGGGCATAGACAGAGATCACCATCAGCTCCTGGGGCACAGGCAGCAGAGATCATCATCAGGACCTGGGGCATAGAGAAAACTAGCCAGCAGCTCCTGGGACAGACAGAGTATCTATGTCACCAGCGGCTCCTGAGACACAAATACTCAATATCGGTTCACGCAAAGCTCTACACCAAAAACCATGTCCAATTTGAGAATCCCCTAGTATCTTTTTAAACGTTCTCACTCTCATGCGGTCCAGTGTCGTACGATCACAATCGGCCCGGCGTCCGCTACCCATAGTCCTACCAAGTCCGGTCCCATCCAGTGCCAACTAGTTAGGTGTCCCACTGTCCCACCCAGCCCAGTGTCCCACAGTCGCACCTGCACCAGCACGGCGTGTTCCAGGTCGAGCCGCTGCGCGGCGGCCGGGCTGAGCGGCCGCGGCGGCGGCGGCGTGTGGCATGTCGACTCCAGGTGCACCGTCGTGCCGCACACCAGCGCCCGCTCCACCTTGAGCCGCTGGATGTGCTGGCGGACGCGCGTCTCGTCCGAGCGGCCCATGTCCACGTCCACGCCGCTCGACGACGAGGACGTCGTGCTGTGTGAGGGGAGTGGGTTCTTTGTCATAGATGTACGAGTTGATCGAATGGACACTAATTGCATTCACGGATAAAGTCACAGGGATGGAAAGTGACGGAAAGGTGGTTACTGGGGCTCAGTTACTATTTTACTACTGAGGATTCCGAAATGACATTTCAGATTGCTCTAACACGTCAGACAGATAGAAAGCACAGTTTGTGTTTTCCAGTAACGTGGTGTCTTCGGAGAATCGGGTTACTTTGATTTGGCA